AATTTCATATGCATTTAGTAAAAAGCTTCTATTTCGACATAACAACTTGACATGACACTTCAATTTTATTTATCTGTCTGTGTAGATAAGATATCAAACTCAATAAATATAATAATTTATTTCGATTCCTATCTTTTGATAGTAAAGTACACTTCTGACATGCAAATGTTTTTGCGTTACGAATCTTTGGTATGATAAGAAAAAATGGCATATCAAGACACTGCGTATTTCTGATACTAAGTTATATTATACAATGATGGAAATTTAAAATTGTTTGAGTCTTATCAATAATAATACATATAAATATTTTTTTCATATAATATACACAATTTATAGAGGTCTCGCATAGGTCGCGACACGCAGATAGCCTCTCTTGTTAATTATTGTTTTATTTATAACTGTTTTAACAGTCGTTTTTATTGTCATAACCTCTGCCCCTGCACTGGGGACGGCGTGATTGAATACTGAGTTTGCATTATACATACAGACGGACACAAGGATATTTTTTATATGTATGTTTTCATTTTTTAGTTACGTTGGTTAGCTTACGTTTATGTACTAAGAATACGTTTTTTACTTATTATATAATATTATACAAAAATAGTGTTTCATCATTATTTTTTAATAGAGTATTTTAAAAAAAGCACCCCACCAGAATATATAACTCATCTTTATGTCTCTAGCAACAAAAACATAATTTTCCCCCTTCAAGTTTTATTTTTGTGACAAAAAAGCCCTATCTATGTCCTTCTCCAAGATCCCGTCTATCTCTACACTATTTATTCTGTAGTTTAGGCGTGAAAATGTAACGGACAGATAGAGTTACTTTCACATTTATAATATTATTTAAGTATGGATAAAATAACTTTCAGGTGAAATGATAAAAGACTGATAAAGTATTTAATTTATTTTAGTTTGAATTTTTTTTTTATTGATATTCGGCTTAATGAACATGATTCGTCATTTAATATAAATAAGATCTTTGTCGCTATATTCCGTAAAGTGCGCTATTTTAACAAAATGGCTAAAAAGTTTAGTTTTTCTAATATGGTTTTTATAAAAATAACAAAAAATGTGGTTTAACTAAAAAGAAATCATAAGTTAACAATGTTTAATCCTTTGAATATAATATAACTCTAACAACGTTGTTAGAGTTATAGTTATAGAAACACTGTACATTTTAAGTATTTAAATGAGTGTTAAGTACAAAAAAAGGTGAAAATATATTTTTTTCCAAAAATATTTATTATTGAAGTAAAACTTTTGTGCGTGCATGAGAGTAAAATTACAAGGCCGCGTCATGAGAAATCATCACGAAAAATCGTCATGCCCAAGATTGCACTAGGTTGCCATTTTTACTAATTTGTTTTCAAATATGCCTGCATATTATAACTAGCGGCTCAACATCACTACGCTCGGTTTCGTTTCTTAATGTATGCGATAGATGTAAGAATCCAACTAGATAGAAAGATACAGAATATTATTTTCCCCTCTTTGTGTGATATTCGTTTGAATCGTATTTTTGTCTGAGTAATATTAAAAGTTTTTATTAATTTACTAGCATTGCCCGCGGCTCCGCCCGCGTTAACATGACCAAAAACCAAATACTTACATTTTACATATTAGTATAACTCTTACATTACAGTTTTTGTATGTTTGCTCAGAAATGAGATATTTTCCCGCGGTAAAAAGGCCTATATGTTGACTCGGATAACCAGCTATCACCATACCAAATTTCATCAAAATCACTTCAGTGGTTTTTACGTGATGCGGTAACAGACAGACAGACAGACAAAAATTCTAAAAACTATAATAATGTCTATTTCAATAAGATTTTCCAAAAAATATTTAATGTACAGATTCGACTTAGAATTTTATTATATGTATAGATTAATCTTGCAGATTCGAAATATAAAAAACCAATGAAGGTTCACTTCTAACACGTGTACTCTGTTACACGCGCACTTTATTTTATATTTTCAAATTAAACATTATAAAACATTTGTGAACAATACGATTGTGTTATATAAACAAAATAACGTTTATTTTGTTCATTAAAATTTATTTTTTTCCATAGAAAGATAACCTACGAACGACGGGGTTCTAAAGGCCCCCGGAGATAATATTCTGTTAGAATGATCAAATAAATAGCAAAAACTGTTTAAACAAAAGCGATATGAAATCGACAATGTGTTACTCTAAAATATTTTGATTATTATATAATATTAGTATCTATCGCTTGTAACAAAGATATTATTTAAATGGATAAATATTTAATCTTTAATGTCAATATTTTTAATAGTGTTAAAAATAGGTTATATAATAAAATGTACTAGTCTAATGTTTATGTGATTGTATGTATGTATGTATGTATGTATGTATGTATGTATGTATGTATGTATGTATGTATGTATGTATGTATGTATGTATGTATGTATGTATGTATGTTGAAGCAACGAATTAACGTTTTCTATAGGTTTAAACATATTGTGCAATAATAATTGCAAAACCCATAAAGGCTAATTTTTACTTCGGCACTTTACTTTCCATACCGTATTGCAAATAGATAGTAAAGTGGAGGATGTAGTATTATAGGAATAAATGAAAATTCAATATAAATATCTCTAGTCTTCACTCGCCCACTTTGCTTTTGCGTACGTAAATGTTTCTTTTGATCTTCACACATCTTAAATACCATGACCGTGGTATTAATGTATCAGGTACGGAAACTAGCATGGCACGGACTACTATGCCCACTTGACCGTATCAACAGCGTATCATACCCGTACGCCGCCTACGCGCACCGGTCCTTCGACGTTGCGTGCCAGGCACGGAGCGTACCGGCACCGGCAAAATATTCTCGCCGGCTCTTGTTACCGCTCCGTGCACGGCACGCGACGGTGCCGGTCCGGTAATGGAACGGTCTAGTGGGCAGAGTCTCATACTTTTCAATACAAAGAATATGTTTTGCCTGACACGGTCCTGGCACGGTCATGGTATGAGACTGTGAAGTGCGCAGACTCCTTAATGTGTATTTAGGTTTTTCGCTTATAAATTAAATATTTAGTTTTAAGGAAGAAGGAAGAGATGCAGGAATAATAATTTAGTGACCTTAATAAAACTCCTTTCGGATTTTCTCGAGATTTTATGTAGATGTTTTATTTCCGACGATTCTAATGCTTTACAGCAATCTTGATGGCCTGAGAGACGATCTCCATGTCTTTTCTTGTTTATCGATTTAAAAAAAATGCACAAATCTAACAAAATATAAATAATCCTAGTTACTATTTAAATAAAAAATGATAAATATTTGAACACAAACGCTCGTGTGGGTATCTCGTATAAAAGCTATCAGATAGCCGAGCCGTACGGGTCAGTGCGATTCACAATATGTCAGTACGTGAGTGTCAAGGGACGTTGTGTGGTATCGTGTACATACACACACATACACGTACAGTGTATGCGCAGTTTATTATTAGACTCGCACGCAATCAGGCCAAGTCCATCGAACAGCTGATGGACCAAATTTTCCATTAAAACATTATTTAATATGAAACTTACTGTTGATGCTTTCATTCAGAGTTTCATGCGGGCAGCATTTGCACCTGAAAGATATATAGATCTATACTACTACTACACTACACTAGAAAATTTCAATAACTTTGCAGGAATATATGAACAGATAAGTGTGACACGAGTTTATTATGAGAACAAGTATATTTAAGTTTTATTTGATTATCTAATCAAAAATTGGTAAGAACAAGTCAAGTTGTTTAACTATAAACTTGGTTTCTGCAGTACACTCCGAACTTCCCCTACATATTTTTTTTCTTAACATATTACACTTTTTTTACTCATCAAATATTATATATAAACTAGCTAGCTAACTACTTAAGTTTAACGATTAGTATAGATTTCTCAGAGATGAGATATTTTCCTGCAGTAAAATGTATCCTATATGTTCACCCGGATACCTCATCAAATTTCATCAAATCCCTCCAGTGATGTTTTCCGTGATGCGGTCACAGACAGACAGACAAACAGACAAAATTCTAAAAACTATAGATTCGGTCTCTGTATCGATAATAATGTTTATTTCAATAAGATTTTCCAAAAAATATTTAATGTACAGATTCGGCTTAGTCACAATTTTATTATATATGTATAGATGTACTAAAATACAATAATTCATACAATTCTGTCTGTCCTTAAAGTGACATTAGCCTATGTTACGATAGGTTCAAAGTAAACACCGTGTCGTGACTGTGCTATTGTAACTGTCTATATATTTTGTTACATCATCACCAGTGTCCCATTTGATGGAGGTGTGTCTTCTTACTTGTTGGCGATCTCTTGATATTGCCGGTATTGATTTATGATTTTTAGCGTTTTAAAAGTATCTGTATTGCACACAGGAGATACTTAAAAAAGATAATATGTTATATATATTAAGTAAGTCATAAATATATCATACTAGTGACTCGACTTCCTTTCGCTTCCGGTTCTTCTATAGACAAAAACAAATCTATCCCACAGGATCCGTACCTACATTTAAAAAGTAAAATAATAATATTCATGTAAGTCTAGGAAAGAATTATAAAAGGTTTAATATGGACTTTTGAATTAGTCTATCCGGATAAATAAAATTAAAGTGTCTGTTTGTAATGTCGAATTAACAGCTTTTCACTAAATGCGTATGGAATTATAAACGGTAGGTACTTATAAGATGAACACAATTTTATTTGTCTGCCTGTCTATCTGTTCCGGCTAATCTCCGAAATGGCTGGACTGATTTTAATGGGACTTTCACTGGCAGATAGTTGACGTTATAAGGAGTAACCTAGGTTACTTTAATTTTAGAAAAAGATTTAGGGTTTCGCTTAAAACAGTCAAAACGTAGCTAAGGGAGGGTAGGTCATTAGTTATAACATAAAAGTAGTAAATGTTAAGATGAGAGAGAGAGAGTGTCTCCATGTATGGGTGTGTTGGTTGTGTTGCAGAACAAGCAGCCGTACTTCCCGATCTTCGGCGAGCAGCACCCGCGGCCGCCGCGCTCGCGGCCCAAGGACGCGCAGGGCACGGTGCGCGCGTGCGCCGCCTGCCACCACCACCTCGTGCAGCAGTGGAGCGCGTACCAGGTACCCTGCACACTGTACAATGTACATACAACAGGCCATCGTTGTGTTATTTTCTTTTTTAAATTAAAGTATATTCTAGGATTTTTTAGCGGATTCACTTTTGATTTTTGGTTTACGATGTTTCGGATGCTTATCGTCAATCATGGTGATGGGAGAGATCATGATTGCTTTAAATGTCAAATATAAAATTAAAATAAAATTTTAATAGTATTATTATTTATCATACTTCTTACCATGAACGACAAATCTTAAAATAATAAACTTAGGTATTAGAAAAACATATAAAGTTAGACAAAAAAGACATAGTAATTATATCGTTCTATGCAATATTATAATAAAAATCAGTCAAGTCCGAGTCGAATTCGCACACGAAGGGTTCCGTACCATCGTACATCTATTTTTATTAATATGACTCTTACTCTGTATATGCAGTATATTAACTTCGACGATCAATGACGAAGGTAAAAATAATGTTTTTTGTATTTTTATTTCTTTGTTATTTGTTGTAGCGGCAATAAAAATTCATACTCTGTGAAAATACAACTTTCTACCTATTACGGTTCATGAGATACAGCCCTCTGAGAGACGGACGGACGGACAACGGAGGCTTATTAATAGAGTTCCGTTGGCACCCTTCGGGTAGGGATCCCTAAAATTGCTTGCGTTTTTATTATTATAATTTTAAACGTGTTAATATAAAAATGATTTTACACAAAAATTGGGTTAAAATTTATTTTCAAAATACATACAGACGCAAATAGAACCTCTTATTTAGAATTCCTCCTTTAGGGAATTGGCCAAATTAAATAGTTTTTAGGAAATAAATAAACTAAGAGCATGCAAAGTTACAAGTGTGATCTCAGACTAAGAAATGATATAGACAGAGTATCACAGTTATAAACATGAAGCCAAATAATAATGTTGTAAAATAATATACAAATTACAATTTGTATACTGAGCGATAAGTAAATGAAAATTAATAAATAAAAATAACTAGGTAATGGTTTTTATTATAATAAAGGGAAAAAAATAAGCTAATATTATGTTATCTCTTTTTTAAAACTTAATACAAAAATATAGAATTAATTGTATTTTATTCTCAAAAATTGTATATTAATTTAACTAATACACATATAAAATTTTCCTTACTCTTTAAAGAAAGTAAGCAATCTGTGTGTAAAAATTTAGAATAGTATCATAAATAGCAAATTACGAGACTATTTTTGTCTTTGACATTTATTTTGGCGGATTCCGTTTACATTAGGTTGAAATGTAGATAAATAGATAAAACAACACTGACCTACACTACAGTAATAGAAATGATGAGATGTTGATGTGATGAGGGTCTCAATTTTCTATTTACGACCCTATGTGCATTTATCAAGGCATATATTTGACTGGCATTATTTACATATCAGGCCGCGAATATACGTATTGCATACGAGGTATTTATTGATCATCATCAATTTGCTTTCGAACTATTTTTTTCTTCAATTAATACGAAGAAAAGAGAATTTCATTGTATTTCAAGTAAGATTTGAAAATGTTAAGAAATGTGTAAAATTAGAAAAAAATCTAATAGTAATGTTTGATTATTAGTTTTTATCTACTTTAACAGTTCACCAAATTATTAACTATTTATGTCTTAGTTTTTATTCTAGTTCTGAGTGCACTAAGCGTGTTCTTCAAAATATTACGCTTTTTTTTAATTGGCTTAAGGAATTAAGCTTTAGACAGAATCTAACTTTACTAGACTTTCTAAAAAATATCACCTTTCATGAAAATATATAGAAGCGTCAAAATAGAAATGTTATTCGCTAAAAATCTAATATTAGTCCACTCAATTAGACTCTACTCGCTAACATCATCCCCGATGGTTTTGAAGTAAACACTCATATGCTGTAATTTCACGATTTGCATTTGTTGCATTATTGTTATGTTGGCAATTATTATAAGGACCTGAGTGATCGAGTTTCGCTCGCCATTTTTTTTCGATAATTGTGTTTTTTTTTTTTCGGAAAAAATATATAAAAATTGAGTTTTTGTCTTATAATTAAACTTAAAAGGCAAAACTTTATTTAAATACAAAATTTGATCAAAATCGTTAAAGCCGTTTCCGAGGTACACGAAATAAATTTATATACAAGAATTGCCCATGTAATATTATAAGTACCTGGGCCACCGAGCTTCGCTCGGAGTTTTTGGTTAAACAGTACAATTTTCTTTAAAGAAAAGACTAAAAACTTGATTAAATACAAAACAACAAAAATAAATTATACCATTGTATCAGACCGGGATTTGAACCCGGACACCAATGATTGTCAATCTTGCGTCTTTAAAAAAAACTTGAATAAATATTAAAAAAAAACAAAAGTAAAAACTTTGTATGCGACCGAGATTCGAACCTGGACACCTGTGATTGTTGATCTTGCACCTTGGCCGCTTGACCACGATGCTTATTCCCGAGCGTGCAAATTACCCACCATATTTTGCGTGGAATACCAAAAGAAAACTGCATGAAAACTCGAAAACACGCGTTTCTCAGACATAAGACTAATCTAGATCGATTTATCGTCCCCGAAACCCTTTGTATACTTAATTTCATGAAACTCGTTGAAGCCGTTTCCGAGGTACACGAAATAAATTTATATACAAGAATTGCTCATATAATATTATAATTTATAAGATTATTTATCGTAATCGAAAAGAAGGGAAAAGGTGCTATAAAAGGGACGAGTTCAGAATGGGACACATTAAATTTACGGCACTAGGAACCAAGTAATAGATTTTTGTTTTCTAAATTCTTACAACATTTACTCAGTAACAATATTGAGGTAAATTTCATTTGCTTTTCAAAACAAAGAAAATGGCGAAGCTTAGTTTCATTATTTCGTCAGTAAAAGCATTTTATTCGTTGTTTGTGTAATTTATTTATTAGATTTAAGATAGAAGGTTAAGTATAAGATTAAGGTCAACCTTACTTCTCAATTGATTAGTAAATTAAGAATGTTGTACAAATACAGTGTTTTCTTGATATACGATATATGTATGTATTTGTATGTACTTACTGTTAACTGACGGTATCTAGAAAAGGCGCGAATGATAAGTTAATAAGGACTTTTTAATACTTTATATTATAGTACTTGCGACTCACACTCGCTTCGCTCGGGTTCTTCTCCAGCTTGCTTCCCAATACAAACTTTCATCTCCATTTTCACCCCTTAAAGGGATGATTTCCGGAATAAGATCCTATGTCCTTTCCAGGGTCTCAAACTATCTTCTTACCAAATTTCATCTAAATCGGTTCAGTAGATCCAGAGATTACCCCCTACAACGTCACAAACTTTACCTCTTATAATATTAGTATAGAAAAAAAATAACATAGAGTATCTAACTGTAGCACGACTGATGGATCAAAGCTATCGAGGACCTTAATACCTATGGATTTGACATAATATGTTCTGCGATTTTTAGTGGTTACAAAGTTATTTTGATATTAAAAAATAAATAACGAAAACCGTATTTTAGACTAAGCTTCAATTTTAGATCACAACTCGGATTTGATAACCATAAGATTTTTTTTAATTTCAACCCCTAAAAAAATGAAATAAAGTAAAAGTAGGACTAGGACTTTTCTAAAAACTTAACGTAAAAAATTGTATATAATTATTGTAGATACATTTTAGAAACTGGTATAATTAAAAACACTATTTCATTTTTTCTATTTTTCTTTTTTTTTCATAAAAATATCACAAGTATCATAATGCCATATACGTCGTCAATGTCATATAATTTATATAGGAGATATAACATAGGTAGCAGTGTAACTTTCAATAAATATGTAAACAGATAGTAATTGACCCCAAAGGGCAGGATCATCGCCGGCCAGATAAGCGAAACCGCATCTTATTAGGTACTGCTATATCTGTGACGCTGAAAATAATATCGATATAAGACTACATGTGACACTCCATTTTGCTTGCTTAAGTGAAGGATTGTGTCTCGTGAATTACAATTATGTACTTTATTGAATTTAATACCTTACATAAAAACATATTTTGTCTTTTTTGTTGTTTATATTCTATGTGCAGTGAGAGATTAAGTGTGTAAATAATATTATGTATATATTATATATAATTTTTATTTTTTTTGTTATGTTTCAAAAAATGTTATTGAAAGGAAAATACTAGTTTGTTAGTGTTTGTTACTTCTATACTCTGTGACAGCCCAAGGATATTGATTATATTGACCGAAATATATGGAGATGGCTTGTATGCACACGAAGGAAGCCTCAAAAAGTAGTTAATTAATCACTTGGCTTTTTAGGTAATTTTTTTGCTCCTTGATATTTTTTTGCGTACGGTAGGTACATTCTCACTCCATTCTCTGGTAAATAACAAATATCTTACTCATCTCAGAAGCCGTAATTTAAAGTTTCATATTGTGTTGTTTTGTTAACCCCCTTATCAAAGGCAATTCTAATTGCTTCAAACTAATATTTGTTGTCATTCTCTTTTTAATAATTATACAAACATATCTTATATTTGTGAACTTCATTATTCCACTTGAGTGATTACGAAATCGTTATGTATATATTTACGTTGTACCATAATATATGTCTCGCCGACCACTCTGCCTGCATTTTGTTATGCGATACAGGAATTCTCCAAATATATGTGTTGTTATTTATAACGACTTTTTTTTGTAATTTTAAGTATTTGTCAATTAGGTTGGTTTATAAAATTGCAAAAATTAAAGGAAGTTGTATTTTTCATACAAAATAATAGAATGAATTTCGCTGACATGAGTATAAAAATATACGTAATATTTTTGACATGAACGTACAAACAAACTTAGATTTTTTTTTAATTTTGTTACAGATTTTTATACATTGTTATGTAATAGCTTCGTGTATATAGTGACAATTAGGACAATATTCTAGAGTAATCGAGTTTGGAGGAAATAACATACGGGGTTTTTTGAGCACAATATTTACTAAA